TCTCTCAAATTTCATGAATTATCTTCTCACTCAGACACAACAACTGCCAAAAATCTTTGTACGTACAGGACATTTTGCATGTGCTTACATACTGTTTTCAAAACTGTTAAACTTATGGCCAAAACAATAACACAATGCAAAACTTGAAAAGACAGCAAAATCCAACAGCAATATTTTATTGAAACATATATCATAAATAACATAAATCTAAAAAATGCAGTTTGACCAGCCACAGCTGATTCTCATTGTAGATGAACATCTACACAGGTGTTACTCCTTCAAATTTTCAACTCCTTCAATTCTGGCATGCCAGAAGATTCTTTCCTAGGTGTGTTGCCCTAGATGACATAAGATGTGATGTGGATGAGAACCTGTGGCCAAATGGAGAAGACCGAGTAGAATAGCATTACTATTGTATGTGTATCAGTGGATGTTGTGTATACAAATTCTTGTATTTTGGGATTACTTAGTGCAAAAAAATAAAAATACATAAACAAATATTAACGAATTCTGCATGATGTCTGATTCATTCACATATATTGAAATTATAAACAGAGATGTGTCCTTGTTTTACACAAGGAAACACTGTGTAATGCTACATGTTGTTAGTGTTTTTCAGGTCATTGTTTTGTGGATGACAAAGTGTGTTTGTCGGCTGTCAACCTTTGCTAGTGTTCTGGAAGAATGAGTTTATTTGAGACCTGAATGAAGTGTTTTGGTAGTTGTAGTGCATTTTGAATGTGAAATGAACTGCTTTGCCAAGCTGAAGGTCAGTTAGGAGGATTGTGTGAAGTGTTTTGCAAAAGTGACCTAAGTATTGGGAAATGTGTCCTAGCGTCTGTAAAAAACTGTAAGATCTGCTGTGGCAATCGGTGCACAGCAGACCTTTAAGCTTATCCGTAGCCTGTATAATTGTATCACCATAGAAAAATTATAAATATATATATATATATTGACCTATCAGCAAATGCCTAGTATGCTAGAGGATCTAGATTGAATAATGTAAGTGTGAATGACAGCACTCAAATGATCATGATAATCGCATGATTGAAATTCACCATAGTGCCACATTTTTATTGCTCTGCAACAAATAATGACTTCATGAACCTATATAAATAGGAAGTGCTGGGCCGACCCCTCCCATACACCTGTTCTGGATAGGATCTGATCAAGGGGACAAACAATAGTGAGTATAACTAAAGAAACAATAACAATCCTAATTTACCAGAAATTTACCTTCTAAGAGAAAAGAAAAATCAAATTACCTGATGGTTCAGTAGAATTAGATTTTAAAACATATACATACATGTAAACTAACCATTACGGCCAACAGTAAAATAACATGAAACAAATTATGAATATGTTTAAGAGACAACGGGTAAATAAATACAATCCTGACATTTGTGTTTCTTTAATCTCACCAGCAGATGGCAGAGGGTGGTTTTGGAGACAGGCTGCATTGGCAAGGAGAATTTACAAATAACATTACTGTTTTTGTGCTATTCTAGCACTGGTTGCTCAAGGAAAATATGTTCCCTTACCTTTAATTGAACAGGGAAAAAGCTGCTTTCAAGCTACTCTTGGGTTGACGGTAAAGCTGAAAACAAAAACGAAAAAGTAAAAATTTAACATTAACAAGAACATTTGTTAGGTCTTTAAAATGTGTGTCTGAATACTAATTAGTTCTACAATAAGTTATTGCAGGTTGCTATCAGTCCAAACTTTGAGGACGTAAGTTATGATTGTGACTAAACTTCTCACACTAAAGAATTAAAAACTAAAAAAAGTATGGAAAAAAAACCACATCAGATCATTTTGGGGGAAATCATTCTGGATAGATAGACTGACGATGACTGTGTAATGGTTAGGTATAAAAGGATGTCACATCATTTGATGGAAATAAGTGAAAAAAAATACTTCTCATGCTCATATGCATGCCTGACAGCATTGGTGATACTCTTACTGTAACAATGGTTAGAAAAACAATCAGAAAACATGAGGGATAAAATCTCTGTGGCCTGTAAAACTATTGCTGTTTTGTTAGTTCTATCATTTCTGCCTCTCTAGTTCACCTGCAGTTAATTTAATTAACACTAAAGCAATCATTAACATGATTTTTGAAATTTTAGAAACAGGACTGAAAAAAATGAATAAATGCTGGTTGATGCATGTTGAACCTGATAAAGCTGTTTTCTGAGATTTTATATAGGAAGCAAATGCAAAAGAAGTATTTCAGATTCCAGAGAGCACGTTTTAGATGTTTCTTCAGTGTGAGGGGGTCAACTAATAACTACAAAGTTCTAAACAAAAAAGAAAAAGAAAAAAAGGAATGCAGCTAGTGAACACGTCCATCTTAAACTAATTTAAAATCATCAAAAACAAACCTATCAATCTCTGATATCTCAGAAGTTATTCTGCTTTAATCACTGTGCTCTTTGTATTATTTTGAATGTTTATGAAATAGTCAAAATATAAACAAATAGTTCCACCATAATTTAACAGGGGTTAAGTTCATTTAACATTCAAAGTAACCTAAGTATGGGGAAAGAGTACAGAAATATATACCTCAAATGAGAATTGGTTATCTTTCCAAATGCAGCAAGCTGCTAAAGTTTGGGTGAATTAAAAAGTAACCAAATATATAAAACATGTAAAAGAATAGTCAATATAATATGCTACCAATTTTTGTAGTAAATAATGTCTCATTGAAATTCAGATACAAAACTGTTTTCTCAATAAAGTGTTTTAGTAGCTACTGACAGAATTGAAGCAGTGAAACAAGGCGTTGACGGGAAGTTCATAAATAGCACAGCTGTGAGATGGGCCTGGTCCTGTGTCTCTCTGAAAACACTTCATGGTTTCACTTCTTGATTATAGAAAGCTTGAGACTCAACATCATTTTTCTTTTTGATTAAATGATGAATGATAAGTGAGTAAATGTTAAGACTTATAGAAATAATTGGTGCTTCTTTTTTGTCAGTTCAGTTTTTCTCAAACTGAACATTAAGGCAAAACTCACAAACATGGAAAGAGCAAGCCTTCATTGTATCTTATTCTGTGACTGGAAACACATATATACTAAAAATGTGTTATTACGTACTATCTGTATATTGAACTACAATCATTATATCATAAAGAATCTTTTAAGAAAGAATAATTTTGCTTTTGTTGAAAGACAGTCATATGTTTTGACATTATTTTGTGAGAAAATTATGGAAAAAACACATCTACTTGAGTGTGTAGTGAGGTTCGGGGGTGCAAACTGAAGTATGGCAAAAGCAAGCTTGTCTGCTGTTCTGCTAATTTTATTTCTCGTTCTTGTTCTCGATCTGTGAAAAGATGCCACTTCCTTTTACTTGTATTACATTTCTGTTTTTTCGTGCAAGTATTTTTGCTTAACATGTAAAATGTAAAGGGTGTTACATCCTAAAAACCCTAAAGAAGTCACTGCCAATGAAGCTATTTAACAGTGAATGCACTCTTACATCACCTGTGAGGACTAAACTTCAATATTATATGTTAAAAAGCAGATAGTCTGAAACAATTTCAACCATAATGTTTATATCTTTTTCATTTCTATAGTTCATGGGGAAAGTTAAAATGCATTACATTTTCATTCTATTGAATTCTAAATGTTTTACTAATAGTTAACTAAGAATAAATTCTAATGTCTTTCATCATATGTTTGGCCCTTCAGATAAAATGGGAACCTGTTCCTTTTAACTGTGACAAAGGAAACTTTGTGGCTAAACCTGTGAGTGGATATGGGAGATGTTTTTGTTTGTTTTTGGTTTTTAACTCATTACAAGATGTGCCTGATATCTTTGATTGTGATTTTCAACAAAAATGCCTCAAATGTTGAAGCTTTAATTAATGCATTGTTTGTGCATTAAAGCAAAATGTTAATTCATGTGCATTCTTTAATGAAGTTAGGTAAATGAATGCACAAAATCAAGCAATAAAACAGGGTTTGTGCTTACTTTTGCCCTATAAGACTGCAGCCAGTAGCTGTGAAAAAGAAAAAAAGTGAGACAGTTCTAACCCTGTCATCCTTTCATTCGTTCACAGTTCCACATTTTGGAGTCAAAGAAGTTAGAGATTCAACCATGTCTTTTGTTGTGATTGCTGTTCTGTTCTGAGACACTCGGTGGGAAACTTTCTAATCAAATGTAAATATCATGTGTGATTTTATGACTTGATCATTTAATACAGACTTGGAGCAGAACTGAGTATACATATGGTTAACCTATATGAATGTGCAATTTGAAGATATATTGTTTTTATAATTGTTTACTTCATTGTTTGAAGTCTAAAAGAAGATTTGTCAAGATACACGATGTTGACTAAAATCTGATTTAATAACTCAGGTTGTAAATCTAACATGAAAGTTCACTCAAGTACTGTAAGTGGGCCATAAACACTGACAAGATCTATTCAATAACTAGTCAGTACATTTACCAAATTTGTTATAAATGGAGTCTTAAATAAAGAAATTTAAAAGCAATGTGTTGTTTTGCTAAACTACATGACAATGAAGATGGAAGTTCTTAAAATACTGTTAAATTCTTTGTATGAATTCTGAAGTTAAGAAATTTTAGAAGATTCATTGACTATATACCTATTGTGTTTGATTTGTTTGGTACTGTCACATTTAATGTTTTAAAGGGTCACATCCTGTGTTTGGAGAGGAGGATAATATAACTCATGATGTTGTGGAATCTGACTTTGATATTAGTAACCGGACTGAATTAGACTTAACGGAAGCGAAAGACATGACTAGTGGAGTCATTTTTCCTGCTTACAAGTATGAATTGGACATGGAATACAACATTCCCATGGAAGTGGATGAATTATTTTATTGTAGGTATGTTAACAATCAAAACCAGTGCTGGGCTGCTGCTATATTACTAAAATTTTGGATGTCTCCAGTTAACCTGGTAGTGGACTCCATGTTCAACAGCTCATACTCCTGCAACCTTACTGTGACATGTGACTTTAACATCAACAGCATTTTTAAATGTAATAACAAAACTTGCCATCAAGAGGGAGGAGAGCAAAGAGAGACCTGTTGGTGGCCCAACGTTTCTCTTCATGTCTACATGTCAGATGGATCCATCATATGTAACTACAGCAATGAAGTAAACTGGACCAAGGATATGATAGAGATTGGACAGTTTTGTCCTCGAAATGTTGGTAAGTCAGATAAGCAGATTTTTTTTTTCTGATAACATTTTCCAGCCTGGAAATTCACTGTAAGCCTAAACACATTTGGATAACATGCAAACATGGAGTATGTTATTGTCTGCATGTTTGAAAAACAAACAAAAGAACCAGTAAGTAATTAATCAATATCAGTATAACTGAATATTTAATGAATGGTAACCAGTTTTTTTGGTACAGCTTTAGTACTTTCAACATATGTTGTTTTATTACAGGCTCTAAAACACATACATCAAAAATTACATTGTGAATCAAATGGTCTCCACATCCAGTGAGAGGTATTACTGGTTTTATCCTTTCTCAATGTGCTGTAAAGGCAAAGTCTGGTTTTGCTCTGTGTTTCAGGTTCTGAGAGTTTCTCTGACGGTGTCTCCGTCTGTATGGTGAAGACAGTCGTGTTCTCTGTTGGTCTGATCATCATGGTCTTTGCTGTCATCACTGTTCACCTCATAGAGAAACTTCAGAAGCAAAACTAAAGAAAAAAAAGGGACGCACATCTACCCATAAAACTGTTCATGTACCTTTACAAGAACTTCACAGGGCATGTATGATTAGCTGTGAATGAAGTCCACCAAATGCTTAATTTATAAATAGAACTTGCTGATGTGTTTTTTAGGATTTAATCTGAGGAAAAAGTGTCTGGGAGGCTAAGCAGGTTTTTGACTTTTGAATGTTTGGTATATATCACTTTTGATTGCAGACATTTCTCCTGTTTGCTATTTATTCCTGCTGTCTACTATTTCTATTTTATTCCAGCACAGTTGGTGTGCAGCCCCTTAATTTAGTTGTTTGTGTACAATGACACTAAAGCGCTATTCTATTCTATTCTATTCTATTCTATTCTATTCTATTCTATTCTATTCTATTCTATTCTATTCTACATGTGTCTTTGATATCACCACCAGAGGGC